TCATCGTAAGGTGCAGCGTGCAATTTTTAACATTTTCAGGTTTAACAAGCGATTTAGCAAAATGACTTAGTTGGTTGGCATTTCTTCTGCTTCCGTTGAGTACCGACCGACATTCGAGTCGATTGAATTCAAGTAATTCAACGGCATGTTTGACTTTCTTCGTTGGATCGTCCTTCTGTCGTCTAGCTAACTGTTTTTTTTTTCTGCCATATTAGTTTCCGATAGCATATAAACTTCAGTCTTCTACGGATTTAGTCTCATTCTTTTGGCACATCTGATTCGCTTTCGACTTTATTCGATTGGACTTAAAGCCACAAATTGTAAAATGCGGATGATGTATTCTACCTTGAATGTCCATTATTTTCAGAATATCCTCTGGATTCAGATGGATTCCTTATTGATATTGTACGGAAGTGAAACGGGTACAGCTCAGGATACAGCCGAATCTCTTTGGATTGACGCAAAATACCGAAATATAATTGCTCGTGTGTGTTCTTTGGGGGACTACAACATTGAGGTATCAGTTTTCCGCTTGACAAATGATCTCAATTTCTGAACTGAGTCAGCCGTTTCACCCATATCACCTTGGTAGATGTTGGTAAAAGAATGGATTCAATATTTCGCATGATTGAAACAATTCATGAGTTTCTTAATCGTCAAACTGTTATTGACTTCAAATACAGCCTCGCTCCAGAACTAGAGTTATCTAAATTTCTACGATATCAGGACCTATGCGATGAAAGATGTGTGATATTTGTGATGGCCACGAGTGGGCAAGGTGAAATGCCCACGGGTATTCGCACCGCGTGGAGGAAACTCTGCTATAAATGTCTCCCTGCAGATCTTCTTGACCAGGTATTCATGTTTCTTTATGTCCTCAATTGTTTTCCAGTTTTTCAGTTGCTTATTTTGTTGTTTTTGTTGGTTCGTTGTTCCTGGCATTGCGTTTGGCTTCAATTTCAGGTTCACATGGCCGTTATTGGGCTTGGTGATTCGTCTTATCAGAAGTTCAATTTCGCTGGAAAAAAGATGTTTAGAAGGTGCGTTAGTTTTTCAGAGGGAAAGGTTCTGAATGGAGTTTATATATTTTGAAGATTATCATCATTTGCAGATGTTTGTATGGAGTATGTATAGATTCATTCATTAATTTATTCAGACATCTCCATTTTGAATCCATATTTTAGATTATGCCAACTTGGTGCCAAGCCATTGGTGGATTTAGCTCTAGCTGATGATCAGCACGAATTGGGTATCGACGCTGCACTTGATCCATTTCGTGAAGCAGTTTTTCAACGAATTTACGAAATACATCTTTTTCAAGTATTCCATTCTGAACTTCGCTTAAAGATGACATATTTCATGCAAAATTTTAGTGAATGTTGCACTATGCATCGTATAAACCAACAATAAGAATATATTTTGAATTTGATAAGTTCATAAAGCTGTTAATTTTACTCGATTGTATGTCGTAAATTCATTATGTGATTTGAAAACNTGGTAAAGGCGAATTGTCGAGTCACTGCTGAGAGTCACTTCCAGGTTCGTTTTGGTTCTTTTTTGACAAACCTTGATACTTTGAAATCTACCAAACCATTTGGTCGTATTGAGTTTCTGCATTCTATGATGCGGTCAGTCTGGGATTGCTCTTGATCTATCAGAACTGATTCGTTACTCTTATCACTGAAGCGAATAACAGTAGTAATAATGTCATCGTCGAAAATTCTTATGGCTGATTTCAGGACACTCGATTATTGAGCATCGATGCGATGGGAAACGAGAACTTGAGGTGAGTTGCTAATGTCAATCATCCTATCTGATTTTTGTGGTGCATGCCGTTCTGGTGTTCGCATTCAAGTAAAGATAGAACTCGTTTGATTATCAAAACATCAACCCTTGTCTTCTTCAGTCAGTATTCTGTTGACCTTCGAACAGTTGAAGGTATCAGCCCGGTGATGTTCTCATGGTGCATCCATTCAATTTGCACGAATCTATCCACATTGCTCTTCAAGCTTTGAATTACTCAGATGATTTGCTTGATCGTCGGTTCGCGGTTAAACCATCAGACTCCAATATTCCCAGCCTACCAAAATGGCTTCTTGGAGGTGACTTCTTTCAACTGCTGAAGCTGTGCCTTAGCCAGTAGGAAGCTTTTCGATTCACGTTGTTTTTCCAACCCGTTACTCGAACTTTCAAATCATATTGAAACTGTCGTTTTGGTGTGCAGTGTTGATGTTGAGAATAATCCCCCTGCTTCGTATTTAGAAATTTCGTGTTTATTNTTGAAACTGTCGTTTTGGTGTGCAGTGTTGATGTTGAGAATAATCCCCCTGCTTCGTATTTAGAAATTTCGTGTTTATTGTTATATAATGAACGTCAGAGGTTGTTCATGTCTCTCGAAGCCTTCCGTTTACAACGTATTGCAGATCGGATGAGTTTACGAGATTGTTTCGAGCGATATTTCGATTTGCAAATGGTTCCTCGTCGATCATTCTTCAAGATTCTCGCGAAACTTTCTACGCATCCGGATGAAAAGGAACGACTTGTTGAGTTGGCCTCACCCGAAAATCTTGTTCGTCTTTACGTATCATTCTGCGGGAGGGATCACTTATTGGTCATTTCCAGTTCAGTATTATGCATTGATTGTTCTCTGATCCAAAAACGATGTTTTTTGATTGAGGTGGTTGATTTTTGGTCAATAAGTAAAAACTGAAATCTGATTGAAAAGAAGTGAGAGAATATGAAAAGCCTAATCTTGTATTTAAGCAGAAGTTTAGCCTATCATGTAAGCTATTTCGTCGCGGTTATCTCATCTGCATGGTAACCACTTANACGTTTCGTTGATAATGTGTATGCTTCAGGATGATTATTTGGACTACTGTGTTCGTCCGAAACGCACAATCGCTGAAACATTACGTGATTTTGGGAATACGTCAAGAAATCTCGATTACGAGCGACTATTCGATCTAATACCAGCCATACGTGCTCGGGCATTCAGTATCGCATCTTGTGAAAGTGTACATGCCCACATACAATTGTTAGTGGCTAAGGTTGAGTATAAAAATAAACGATTAGTGGAGCCACGGCATGGATTGTGTAGCACCTATATAAGCCGATTGAAAGTTGGCGATGAAATTTTTGTGAAGGTTCGACCCGGGACGTTCAGGTTCATTGAATTATTCCACCGATGTTTGATTTTTATTTTCTTTCTTCAATTCTCTGATTTCTACATCGCATTTGAAAGAATTGAATATGAGAACTGCTGCTGCTGTAAAATCAGAATGTGTTGATCGAAGTTTCGTGAAGTGAAAAAAATTTTAAGACGAATTCAGGTGGCCAAAGAAGAGCAGCGCGCTGATTATGGTTGGTCCTGGAACTGGTGTTGCACCGTTTCGTTCAGTGTTACATAGCAGGAATTTGTGA